CTCTCTTTACACGAGGCATCGGATTTAACGTCCCCATTCTGACCGGACGTGGCTGCAAATTTGTACATCGTGCACAGCCAAACGGACGCCCCACTTTACAAGGGTTTTACTGCCGGTCGGAGGAAGACCTATGGTGACCATACTTCTATTCCCAAGTCACCCTTGGGGGGTATAACTTTGATAATATAAAAGAAAGCCATACAGATTTTTAAAACTGCAGGTCCAGGCACAGGTAGTTCAGGGATATAGAAAAAAAATGACAAAATTTTCTTTAACTTTGACAAAATGAAGATTTTCCTATGCTTTATTAAAAAAAATGATACAAAGTATGGGTCACCGCGCTATTTTCCAAAAGGTTCAAAATTGCCAAAATTTGCGTAGATTTTTCATGAAAAAACACATGTTTGTGCATTAAAAGAAATCTATGAGACATATATAATATGAAATAAATTATGAGAAGAAAGCTATAGGTTTTATTATATATTTTAATAAATAAAATGAAAAAATGGTGTCACCGAACTTGTTTTCTTGCTACAACATTGTACAAGTAAAAAATGAAAATTTTCCAATATATCCAGTATGAATTTTGTACTTAAAGATTTATCTCCCCTTAAATGGCTTATTTGAAAAATTAATTCGAAAAGCAAAAATATTTGGTATTTGTTAAAACATTTTCAATAATGCAATGAATAACTAAGTTTTCGTTATATGAATAAACAGTGTAACCAATAAATTGCAAAACTGTCTCCAAATTTGCAGATTTGGGCAAAGAACTAGACCGATTATTTATTGTGATTGTACAATTCAAGATAGCGGTATATTGGTGGCCTTCGGCAGTTGTCTGCTCTTTGGTCGGGTTGTTGTTGTTTGAAACATTCCCATTTCCTATTTTCTATTAGTACCTATGCTACATTAATCTTTAAAAGATCCGATTAATGCCGAACACTTGTCCTACCACCATGACAAATATGTTGTTATCCCCGCAGATAAAGCCCCAAACAACATCGTTTGAGTGTGTAAATCACATTACATACACTGCTTGATAAATGAATTAGAATTCTGATGAGTTAAGCCTATTTCAACTGATTTTTACAGTTCGTTCTTATGTTGTACTGTTACACCACTGTCCCAGGTTAGGGGGAGAGTTGGGATCCCGATAACATGTTTAACCCCGCCATATTCTCTATGTATGAGCCTATTCAGAGTAAGGAGCCTATAATGCAGTGGTTGTTGTTTGTTTATGTGTTACATATTTGTTTTTCTTTCATTTTTTTGTACCTAAATTAGTCCGTTAGTTTTTTATTTTGAATTGTTTTACATTGTCTTTTCGGGGCCTTTTATAGCTGACTATGCGGTATGGGCTTTGCTCATTGTTGGATGCCGTACAGTTACCTTTAGTTGTTAATATCGGCGTCATGTTGGTCTCTTGTGAAATATTGTCTCATTGGCAATCATACCACATCTTTTTTTTGTGTATCTCTTCTTGCCGACTTATTTCTTCATTCATATGAGGCTGATTTCATAGAGGAACTTCTTAGGAAGAAAGAAAAGAAAATAACAGTATCCTTTAACTTTACTTTCCGCTACATATATGATGTTTTCTGACTAAATAATTTAGAATTTGGTGACTACATTGAACGCTTCTATCCCATCGAACTTGAGATAAAGGAAACAGTCAAGTTTGCCTCATATCTTGACTTACATCTAGAAATTGACTACAAGGGTCGGTTGAAAAACAACCTTTATAACAAAAGAGATGATTTCAGATTCCTAATTGTGAACTTTCCATTTAATGTAGCAACACTCCAGCAGAATTTACATACGGAGTATATATCTCACAGAAATACTATACTTAAGGGCTTGTAATTCCTATCATGATTTCCTTGATAGAGGGTTGCTGCTCACAAAGAAGCCATTAAGGTCAAGGAACAGTAAATGGGCTATGTCGCAGATTTTTCTAAAATTTTGCATACAACCTTGACTCGTTGAACAACAAATGAAAATCGAAAAAATAATGCATTTATCTTTTTTATTATCTGAAATATTTCAGATTGGTTTCTTTCAATATGAATGATTATTTGTATAGATAGCACATAAAATCGGCGCAAAATCTTCTAAAATTTGGCTTAAAAACATCAAATCTCTAATTCTACTCCATAATTTTTTTTTAAAAAACTACATGTTGTTGACACGTAAGTTTCTGTTTTAATGATATAAAATAATCATACGGTCACCGATTTTGTTTTTTGTTTAATAATCTATTTGTTACCTTTTTGGTAGTGAAAAACGTCAAAAAGCAACGTTTTGCGGCCTGTAACGCGATGACGTTACGATTATTTCGACGTTTTGTGGGATTTTTTCACAAAGAACACGACTGTGAATGATGTATACCGTAAAAACGAAGTCGGTGACCCTATCTTTATTTTGCACCATTAAAACGGAAAGTTATGTATCAACAACACGCAGTGATATTAAGGCACTTTACAAGAAAAATGCGTAAAATTGCATGTTATATTCAAGTGCATATCATAAGAAAATGGCAAAAAAATCAGGAAAACAGAGATCGTAGAATGAAACATAAAGACCTATATTTAATATTGCATGGGTGTTTCATATCGAAAGTGAAAGTAGTCACGTGACCCGAGTCGACACTGAAGGTCGTACATTATATTTTCAACTCAAAAGTCCAGCGTGTTAAAGGAATCTTTGAATGTGAAGCAAAGTATCAATACATTCGTTTGAATGTATATTTTCTAAAAACTGCTATCCAAAGATTGAACTATACTGTCTTACGGTAAAAATTAATGTAAATCCGATGAAAAATGTGATTTTTTAACGAAATCCCCATTTGATACTATGATATCTCAATGATATGAACGCATACCAGTGTTTGGATAGCAGTTTTCTTTTAAAATAGATATCAGTCGTTTTAAATCATGTCCAATCAAGTAAATCCATCTTCAGTAACACGCTGGACTTTTTAATTTTTTAATCGTGTACCGTGTAATATTGTTTTACGTTCATTATCAACAAACGCTTTGATGACGTGATCGGCTGTACTCAATAGCGGACAAAACTCCGGAAAAGTATAAGTGCCGCGTATTTTAAATTACGGACTTCAAGTAATGTTTTATTTGTATTAACTAATATTGGAGATATATTTGTTCAATGATTCATTAAATATATATATTTGCAACTTTTATCCTTGTAAGAATAAAAAAATAATTTGTTAAAAAGACCTTAAAACAGTATTTTCCCAGATTTGCTTTTAGATGTGCATTTTTTTATTATATAGTTCGTGTTAAATTAAGGTTCATCAGTGTTAAGTGTAATGTTTATAGCCCATTAGAGATTCTCATAATGACTATTATCAAAATACAAAATTAGATATCTAAACGTTCTCTACAAATGCTATTTCTTGAACTTGAAAAAGCTATAAATGTCCCAAGAATCAAAACATCCCCCTTTCCTACCATTGTATTAACATGTAAACTTAAAAAACAAAGTCCATTCATCAGTAAAATTGGGTATTAAAAATAAAAAAAATAACTGCTAGTTTTTATCTCATATATATAAATAAAAGAGCTAATCTGCCCAATAAAAACAATAAAAACAATAATCTATGAAGGTAGGAGACTATCTTAATGTTAACTGTAAAAAAAAAATCTGCATTCGTGAAATATAAAAAGAAATCAAAATTTGGCTGTGGCAATGTCCCAAGTTTCGTAAAAACTCTGATTTTTTTAATTGTGCAACACCTACCTGATTCCAGTCATAATTCTTATTTGTATGGATTACAGTTGACCTGCATTCATATAGTCTGCATTTTTTCGACAACAAAATTTTCAGCAGACACCACTCTCAAAGTCAGTGTGAAAAATTATGTACTTTGGTAAATGTTTGAAGTGGCAGAAATTGGTAATAGAAAAGAGAATATAAGGAAGAATCACGCAACTGAGCTAGGCTCTCAGAATATACAAATTGTTTGCTGTACTATAAACACTTCCACAACTGGTTCAGTTGTTTTTTTAATTATATGTTCTACTCCACTGATCAAGCAAAATTTACACTGCTCAAGAATTTCAATAACACACTGAAATCATGTGGTCAATATTCAAGCGAAATTTATGAAAAGTTGTTCTATGCTGTGTTCCACTACTATTCATTTTTTTCTATTTGAGGTTAGAGTTTGAGCACTCACAAATATGTTTAACCCCACCACATTCTTTATATGCCTGTTCCAAGTCACAAGCCTTTAGTGCAGTGGTTGTCGTTGGTTAATGTCCGTCTTATGAAATAATTTCACATTTACCAGAATGGGGCCTTTAATAGCCAATACTATAGTATGGGTTTTCTCATTTTTGAGGGCTTTCCAGTGGCTAAGTATATTTGCTTACACGTACATCTACTTCATTTAAACTCTAGTGGGTAGTTGTGTCAATGGCAATGATAACACATCTCATTCTTTGCAGCGTATGGAGGACAAAACATAATCTGTTTTGTTACTCAGCTCAAACAGGATAGAAATGAGGCAGGCGACAATTCAAATTATACCTATGTTGATGTCTTGTACAAAATGTCAAATATCTTTTTATCCTATTTTGAGACCATGTATATATACCGGTATATATTCAATCTACAATGTATATTTAGCAATTATGCACCTTGATCAACTTAACAATCACACCATTGTCCTTATAATAGATTTTTAGAGATTCTTTCAGTGGCAATCATATCACCTTATGATTTTCATGCTCAACCAATATCAATAAAAAAGTACAAAGTGGATATACTATAAGCAGGAATAATTGGTATGGGATTTGCTCATTGTTGAAGGCCATACAGTGACCTGCAGATGTTTTTTAAATTTCTGTGTCCTTTTGTCTCTTGTGGAGAGTTGTCTCATTGGCAATGGTACCATATTTTCTTATTTTTATAAGGAATGCAGATCATAATATGTGATATGTCTAGTCATCATATTTTTCATACAAGGAAGAGGGTTAGAAATTGATGATATGTAATTTATTTCTTGTATTTACATTTTTGATACAACATATACATGAAATACCATTTTACTCCATAAAGAAAAGAAAATCCATAGATTTCTATTTCAAAGACCTTCACTCTTGGTATTAAATTTTCTAAAGAAAACAAACAAACAAACACTTGTTTTTCTAAATCATTGATCATAAACAAATATCAATGCATTTTTTAAAAAATGAAGTAACTATCATTATATAACAGATGAATAGAGTCACAATAACTTATGCTATAAACTAACTATTCATTGAGTAATAAACAACTAAGAATGTCCAGTGTCATCTTAAAATTAAATTGTAGCTAATACGTCTCCTGGTTTAATATATTATCGGAAAGCTTTAAAGTGTTGCTTCAGTTTGAAACATTTCCAAAAAATTTACATCAGTACTACAAGCATATAGTTGTATTAGTTCTTGATCCTTTTCATTAATTCTGTCTTGAACGTTACAAAGATTTTTTTCTTCTCCAGAGATGTGTCTAATTCTATCTGACTAGTGACGAAAAAGTGTAACAATATGAAATTTAGGTTACACATAAATCATTGTAAATAGTAACTGGAAATGTAAACTCGGGTATTGAGTAAAGCTGAAATAGAAAAAATACGAAAATTACTAATCACATAAACTAAACAGAACATTATCCCACAAGCAATAAACAGAATGCAGGGACAGCAGTTTTAACATAAAAGTAAAAATCTAGGCAATAGACCAATAATGTGTTAATAGAGCATTAAAATATAACCCCAAACTGTGCATGTTATGCCCCATTCAAAGAAGAGTATGAGGAAAGTGATTGTTCTTCCAATGTCAGTCCACCCTACATAGGGTTAATAGTTTTTTCATTGAGCAAGTCCTCATTTTTAAGGCTAGAACTTTTTACATTATAAAAGGCATAAGTAAATATATTACTGCTGTGCATTTTATCAGGATTCATTGTCTTTCTTTTTATATTTTCCTCAAATCACAGGAATTTGAACTTTGTCATTTGTTTAAATTTTGTGAAATTATTCATGTTAGGTACCTGTACATGGTTTTTCAAGCACACACTGTCAGTTTTTAAATTAGAACTTTACTACTTTGCAGGATGTTTGTTCTTTAACGATACATATGCAGATCAATAGTTTGTATATAATAAGGATTTTGATGTTCCTTTAATTTTCCACAAAATTACAACTAATAATTTTCCTAATGCAGTAATGAAAAGTCCTGTATATTCATTTGTCCTAGCTATAGCTACCTAGTAAACAAAACAAAAAAATAACATACAGAGGCACATTTTTTAAGATGAAAGAATCAGAAATATAGAACACCAGAATCAAAATTGTAAATAAGAAAAACATTCTTCATAAATTGTTAATGTGCAAAACTTGAAATATTGCTTATTATGTGAAATTTTAAAGTGCCATAACTCTTGAACGAAATTAGTGGAAATTAATGCAAAGCCTAATTCTTTATAATTTGGTAAAACTAAAAGTTAACAAGATTTACTGACTATGATTGTTTTTCATTTTCTGTCAGTTGACGGACATATTAAAAAGAGAAGGGTGTCAGATAAAACACTCATGCACTGTACTGTAGTGATAAAACAGGCTATGTCATTCGACCTGAAAAGTTCTCAATTAGACCCTGAAAAAGGCAAAATGTTTTTAAAGTTTTCTTCTTTTGATGTTTCTACTAAACAACAAATAAGTATAACATCAAACTTTTGTTACAACCACTTACCCTTGAACAGTCACCGAGTCCAGATTATGGAAATGAATGCTCTAGCCCATCTGACTCCTTAGGTACATTTTTTGCAAGAACGCTCAATTATCAGGTTTTCAGATGAATTGAAGAGGGATCCAAATCTTCATTCATTCATATCTGTTTCCTAAAATAAAAAATGTTATAGATAATTGCAAATAACTGTAAAAAATATTATCCTAAACCAGATTTAAGCATATCTACTAGTATTACCATGATTACAAGAGCCTTTATGACATACAATCATGTAAATTTTGAAATGATTGCATGCGTTTATTATTGCGACCATTGAAAACAGAACAAAAGTGCAAGATTAATTATTACTCTTTCATGAAAATATGCATACAGACTGTTTAAACTGTTTCCAAGCAACAGAAGCAGGATACCAGAAGATTAAATATTCCTATACTATAGCTTTATCTCTTTAGATTATCTGTACATCTGTATTTGTATAGTAAAATGTTCAATAATATTTAATTATGGGCTGAATTTAAACCAAATCTATTGATGTGAGCTGATGATTTTTTTGTATCACAAACATGCCTTTACCATAACTTGTAATTATATTTGAACTATAGCTTTCAGTAACTGCAAGTACTTTGTGCCTTTTTGTTTGTGCTACATGTTGATCTGACGATTTAGTTGAGCCTTTTTCACCAACTTTGACCATTGTTTACAGTTTGTTCCTATGTTGTAATGATACACTACTGTCCAAGGTTAGGGGAAACAAGGGGGGGGGGGGGTTATAGCTTAATATGGTATGGGTTTTGCTTATTGAAGACAGCAAAGCAACCTATATATAGATGCATACATCTACATCATTTGGTGTATAGTAGTCTCAATTGCAGTCATGCCACATCTTCTTATCTTTATATTAATAGATTTTCTTATGTGCTAAACTATTTGTTATATGAATCTAATGCTCCATATTTGCATATAGGTCACTGTACAGCCTGATTCATGTACATGTACAATAACAATAAATGAAAAAAAATATGATATACAAAAACAAATGATAACCAGTTTTAATAAGGAGCAAAAAGTAAAATGCATCAATTTACCTGTTCAAATAATAAAGCTTTCCTAATTCCAACCATTTTAAAGCTTTTAATACTTCATCATAGTGGGACTGGCACTCTGTATCTTGTATTTGACAGGTCAACTAAAAATAAGAGAAAGTAATTATCTAACATGTTAATACATAAACAGATCCTTTTTTTTACAGACGGACATGTATAAGGATTGCAGGCTTTATTTTGAACATTTCTTATTGATCCGTTTCAAATACTAACTTGTCCATTAAGAATTGACAGAATCTGATTTCATGGCTGTCATAGTTTAATTTTAGACACTGACAACTGGACAAAGAGTTCTAGAAATCTTTTTTCCCTGGTGGTCCTTTAACAAAATCTGCTAGTCCTCACTTTATTTCTATTGCAAAATACCAAACTTGCATCAGTCCTTTGAAAATTATTGGTAGTCAAAACCTGCGGACAACCACTTTTTGAGAACTCTGGTGTTCTAATACTATTTGTAAGAATTAAACCCTACACCATGTACACCAACCTTTGTTAAAATATATATTTAATTTAAAATCACAGCAACCATAAATAATTTCCTAAGGGAGCAACCATTTAACTTCCAGGGGAGGGGGTTATGGTTTTCGCTACCGTTAGCTTCAAATGAGCCTTAATTATTCATCTCATATCTGATTTTGTTGCTACTTGGCATCAAATGGAGTAAAATGTTTATCTTTAACGTTATTTACACAAATATTTTATCGTCATTCGCCATTTGGGGTACCCCATTCTAATACCCTCTGTCCTGTAACTCTGGAATGACACAGCCAAATTTTTTCAAAATAAAATCTTGATATTGTTGTGATCAAATTACATCAAATTTAATATATCTTACAAAGTGTTGACAGACAGATGGACATCATGGACATTGGTACAGTTAATATGTCCCGTCTTCGACAAGCATATAAAAAATCAAGTGTTTGAAAATTTGGTAACAGTAACCATGTCCATGATGTCTAGATAGATCACTTTGGAACAAAAATCACTCTACAATAAAAGAGTGCATATGAATGCCACCGCTCAAGCTTTGCAATTTTCCAAGTTAAAAAGGGGCATAACTCTAGAACGGTAAATGAATCACAACCGAAAGTCTGTCTGAGTGTTGTGGTTCTTAGCAATCGTGTATGAGTTTCATAAAATTTGCATGAGACATACTAAAGTAATTGTGGAAACTAAAATTTGGCTGGACAGACAGCACTAAATGCCCTCGTTGCCTACTAGCAGACGTAAACACCCACAGATTGTAGCGATTCATGTGTCCAATGTAATTTGTATGTTTTAGAACAACTTTAACCTTTACTAAGATTATGAAAATCTCCCAAGCACCTATAACATTTATTAAAAAAGTACTACATTTTTTAAACCATTTAACAAAAAATTTACACACACATTTTCTGTTGCATTGTAAAGTCCAAAATTGTCTAACTTTTGTTTTATTATATGGCAACACAAAATCCATGGATAGTTCCCATGGTTCCAGGCCATTATTAAAAATAATACAACATGTATGAGGTTTGATTACCAATCATGCCAATGAGCATGATGAGACAACTATCTAACTGAGACAAAATAAAGTACATCGATGTTAGCAACTATATGTCACTGTATATCATGTACTTGTATAAATTTATTCTGTAATTTGTTGGTCTCTAGGGCCTATAATATTTGAGGTGTTCCAAGAACTATATTAAACTAAGAAAAAAATACAAGCAATATTTACAGAGGCAGATTTAGGGGGGGGGCTTTTTGTGGGAAAAATTTGGTTGATTATATAGGGAATCACTGAAGCATGACTGGAGTGGACCCCCTCTTAGGCAGTTAGTGGGCCCCCACTTATGAAAAATTCTGGATTCACCACTGATTTAGTGTTAATTTACAACTATGCTCAACATGCTCAAATAAAGTCAGCCTACATTTTTTTGTATTTAAGCCAAGACTCTGCTTCATTATTCCACCAAAATGAAATTTTCATTGTTCAGTATATATACCCAGCTAAAAATTGATTGTACCTAGATAGAATATAGATTAGACTGTTGGTTTGTACCGTTTGAATGGTTTTACACTAGTCAATTTTGGGCGCCCTTTATAGCTTGCTGTTCGGTGTGAGCCAAGGTTCTGTGTTGAAGACCGTATATATCTAATATATAATATGTTTTTTCTTAGAATCTTTACTGTAAATTCTTAAATTTTTGTGCATTTATTATAGAAAGGACAAAAATATGAGGTTAATTTAATATTGCAAATTCTGTGACAGGAAAATCTGTATACAGATACATTTATCTGATACCAGAATGTGAGTTTTTATTATTGTGATACTTATCCAGTCGCTTTATTCACATTCATGAAATCCTCGCATTTCTTTCTGAATTTTATAGTTACAGTACTAAACAATTTACTGCCTTGACAATGTTTGCTATAACTGAGGTACATACATGTACTACATGTATATAGATATCATCTGCATGCATGCAGTGTTATTTTAATTTAAATACTGATGATAACCAGTCCAAATAATTATGACGTCTTGGAAGGCTATTTCAAATTTTTGCTTTGACGCCTCGATGTAAGGCGTCAAAGAAAAAAAATATAATAGCCTTTCAAGACGTCATAATTATTTGAACTAATGATAACCATATCTAATAAACTGCTTCGCTGAGCGCAGCTGGATACACCTGCAGAGGTCCAACCCTGAACAGTTGGGGCAAAAATGGACACAATATTCAAGCTTAATACAGGTCTGAATTTGGATTGTAATTTAATATTTGACATATTATAGGTTTCTGAATAAATGTAGTCAAAGAACTTGAAATTGGTTATATGAATTGAATTTATATTCAATTAAAGATTTCTTGCTGTTGTACAATACACTGTGATGTTGCGCAATACTTAGTAAATCTGTTGTCTGACTATAAACAAATAAAGTTCAATTAATTCTCAATGTCATATTAGAAATTTATGAAAATGTAAAGGGAGCTTACATCAATATATATAAACAATTCACCAAAGTTTCATGAGAATTGCTGACAGCATTTTTGAGTTATTGTCTGAAAACTGGAAAATCCCTCCTTTTTTAATGAATAAAACCCCATAACTCAGAAATGTATGATGTAAAATTTATAAAATTCTAAACGGAGCTTACATCAATAGATATAAACAATTCACCAAAGTTTCATAAGAACTGCTGAAAGCATTTTTGATTTTTTGTCTGAAAACAGGAAAATCCCCTTTTTTTTATGAATAAAACCCTGTAACTCGGAAATATAAAATCTAAAATATATAAAAATCGAAAGGGAGCTCATGTCAATAAATATAAACAATTCACCACAATTTCTTGCAAGTTGGTGAAAGCATTCTTGAGTTATTGTCCGAAAACTGGAAAATCCCCCCTTTTTTAATACATAAAACCCCCATAACTCGGAAACATAAAATCTAAAATTAATAAAAAACGAAAGGGAGCTCACGTCAATAGATATAAACAAATTTTTATGCAAATTGGTTAAAGAGCTTTTGAGTTAATGTCCGGCATGTTGATGACGGACGGACAACGGTATACCCGTAAACGGGCGTATAAAAAGAACATGTCAAGGTGGGCAGTCATGATTAACAAACTACCTAATATATCTATAAGTCCAATAATATTTTGTCATGAAAGGCTTCTTTAATTTTTTGCTGTGATGTCTTCCTAAGATGGACTGTCATCATGGTCATATAATGAAGGCTTCACAGTAAAAAAATCAACAAATCTGCCTTTCAAGAAATCATTATATTATATTATTTAGACTATGCATTTAAATTGGTCATTTCAATCAACAAGTATATAAATTTGCTATTGGTCATATCAGAAGTCCATTACTAGACGAAGTGTGCAAGCTGTGCTATATAGTAAGGTGATCATGATGTCCCCATAATCAGTGGAAAGCGTCATATGTGGTCCTCCTAAATCTCGTTTTACAACTATGGAATCATGGGTAGAAATATTATCATCAAACAGATAGCTGTTAATTAGTCTCCTTGAGTGTTTGATTAATTATCAGTTTGTTGAAAATGAAGTGAGCCGACTTGGTGTGGTGGATTCTTATCGTCAGTTATCTAACATGTCTAACTTCATTTTCAACATTTAAAAATTGATATAAAATTTTATAAAAGAATTCATTATTACTAACTTCATCGCGCAATGGCAAAACTATAAAATCATATAGATTAAATCTGTAGTGTAGGACTAATCATGTATGGTCTGTTTAAAAGACAATATATATGATAGCTGTTTTTGTCAAAATTGCCCATTTTTATTTAAATAAAACATTGTGTTGAAGAATTATGTCTCGGTTATTTACGGCACCAGGGAAGCAGTAATGAAATAGCAAAAGACGGGATTTTCTTCGCTTCTACCTAAATACATTTGTCTAAAATAAGCGACCATTTGTTGCTTCAGATGACTTTGAAACAATTTTGAATTTCAAAAGTCTCTTGCTTTTTTTTTTAGCTATTTTTAAGCAAGAGACATACATATCCTTCATTATGTTTGCCATTATAAGATTTATATACGTAGGCGAGTCAGTTTTGCAAAGTGTCATGGTCCTTTTTTGTAGTTTTATATTCACAAGACTGAAGACACCTCTGTACATCATGCAGATTTAAGTTTTGATTGATCGTTTGTTTCTATCTTATTGTTCAGTGGCAAATATATCACACATTTTCCATTAAAGAGTTGTCCCAAAAGTTGTTTAACATGCAGAAAGCGTAACATTAATCCTGAATAAGCGATGTACTGGGTTTATAGTCCCTCCTCCGACATGACATGGCTGCTACTAATTAATACAACCCCACACTAAAATGTAAGAAAGGGTTTTACTGTTGAAACCTGATAATTCCAGGGATTACTTTGTTTTTTTACCCAACTCAACCCTTGAGATTGATTTAGTATTTGAACAAATTATATCAAATTTTCATACAGCTAGGTTTTTGAAAGTAATTTAAGTCTTCGTCGTATCCCAGTACATGCAGTATGAAGTATACTTGCATAACGAATATATATTTATTACTCATTTGGTTACAAAGATCGTGATCACAACTTTTCCTACAATTTTAACCTGTAAAATTAATGTCGAACGCACGTATCATGAACTGCATTTTTTAAATGTATTTTAACGGATAAATATGATAAATGTAATAATATCTGACTAAAATAATAACATTTGTTCGTCCACACCATCACCGAGGCAGTATTACCGTCAAGATCTCAGTAATACAGGATTTAAGATAGCAGTCGAAATTGGAGAAAGGGTATACATTAATATCTATCATCCCTACTTTTTTCAAAATTTAAGGTAATTGTGCTGAAAACGTTTATATCGGAAGAAGTCCCGTGCAACTTAAAAAAAACTTATTTCTTGAAATTTGTAAACATGGTAAATAATAACATATATTCTTACGATCATCGGTACAGCGCATATAGGTACTAACCAAGCAGGCGTGATCGATTTTTACCTGACAAGGTAAGAAAATCTTTCTTTTGTTTACATATTATCAATGTGTTCTTCAATCTAAACATAATTGTTGTTTTAAGAAATGATTTGGTCATAGGTTGATGATTAGAGAAGTCTCAGTATTTTCACAAAACAAGAACGCTAACTAAAAACATGTGCAAATACTTGTCAAAGAAATTGGCAATTTTAATCACAGTTCGAAGTACGCCGGACAATGGAGCGCCTTACGATATAGCGGGTTGCACACTTCGTCTAGAAAAGGACTTCTGGTCATATTGATGACTTTGAGTACATGTGAAAAATATTATTTTTATGATAATTAATCCAAGGTGCAGTCATTTATCAGAGGGGGGAGTGGGGGTTAACATCATGGTCTGTGAGCTCCAAATTACGGGCTCATGGTTCATTCGAACAAGGTTGTGTGCCCAAGGCTCCAATGTTCGGTCTCCATGCTTTTGGGGTAGGGATCCCGGCTCAAGCAATGTGGGCACCGGGCTCTGGAAGCAACTGTGGGGCCAGTGTTAAAATTTACCCGACAGGATGCATACAAAACGTAAATTAGAAACGAGTTACAGGGCGAGTGTTGAGAATGGGATCTTGGCAAGATGTACAGAACTTATTTCATCCGATATTCTGTTCATTTACTGACTAGATTCTATAAATTATTCCAATTTCATATATTTTTTGCAGTCTACTTTCGTTTTGACCACGTGTATATCATACTTGCTAACACTGAACTCGTTTTTTTTCTTATATAGTGCCGTTTTTCGTCATCTGAAAGGAATGATTAACAAAAGAAACAATGTATGTTTCATATATTTTACAAATTTGGTGTCTTAAACTTACTTTTCTTGTTAGATTTTCACGTAGAAGTGAAAATATTTTCCGCAGCAAGGTGCTTTCCATTCTGCAATCCACAAGCATCTTTCCGACGGCGATCGTCTTCTGATTGGTTGATCCTCAAAGGGAGGCGGGGTCCCGCAAGCTGACAATCTCCGCAAGAAAAACAGCTATTGCAACCGTTTACAATATAATTAATGCACAAACATACAATATTCGCGTTTCAGTAAATAAAATTCACCATATTGATACCCGTTTTTAATTCACATGCATGTATGTAATTTGTTATCATACATTTTTATCGATAGACGCAGCTTTCGAGCTCATCGCCATTAATGAATATATGAATATTTAATGAGGTCTTTGCGGAGTTACCTCCCCTGACCAAATCTAATCGAAATTGCCTTAACATCACTGCGCATATAGTTTTTTAAGAAAAATCTATGGAGTAGAATTAGAGATTTTATGATTTTAAGACAAACGTTAGTAGGTTTTTTGCCGATTTTGTGTGCTTTCTTTACAAATGTTCGCCCATTTTGAAAGAATTCAATCAGTAATATTTCAAATGATACATTAGATAAATGCATTATTTTTTCGATTTCCATTTGTACTTCATCGAGCCAAAGTTGTATGCAAAATTTTACTGAAATCTGTGACATAGCCCATTTACTGCTACTTGACCTTAAGCAAAGAGTTTAAAGTGGTGAAGTTAAAATCATCCCTTCTTAAATTTTACGGACGCCATCACGAGTTGGTTGACTGTTACGGAATATCCTTTTCACAGATGATATCGAATAGGTTTCTAACGTCATAACTACAATTCCGTTCCCTTTTCTAAAATACCGTATTAATTTATTACCGGGATTGTACTAATATGAGCAACATGACGTGAGTCACATGTGGAGCAGGATCTGTTTATCCTTCTACGGTACTTTGGATCACCCCAGTTTTTAGTTGGATTCGTGTTGCTCAGCCATTAGTTTTCTATGTTGTGTTTTGTGTTCTAATGTTTGTCCGTTGGTCTTTTTTCATTTTTAGCAATGGCGTTGTCAGTTTATTTTCGACTTCTGAATTTGAATGCCTCTTTGGTTTCTTTCGCCTTTCTTTTGATGACTAATCAAATAAGTTTGAAGATAAACATTTAAAAATCATCGTCAGATATTTACATTGTGATCATCTGATAAGTAAGAGTGGTCTTCCTATTCTATTTTTCAAAATTGATATTTCAATATTAGTATATATATTGCTCAACTATAATAAATGGTACTCTATTTTGACCAGTATTTTGCACTACCGTTTATTTCCCTATTCTATATATTTAACTGAAACGTGCATTCACAAGCTCTATTTTAGATATTTGCTACAAGTCTGACTTACATTTCACACAATTGGTTAGCGTTTGACATAGTTTTTGACCGAAAAACTGAAACTCGAAATCAGTATAAGGAATAATCGGGTTAAACTGCATTTAGAGCCAAGTTATTTTTAGCAACAAAGAAAGCACCAAAACCACGCTCCTTGTTAATTTCAACCTCCTCCTTTTGTCATATTGGTTACTGCAGGAGAGGCAATGTCACAAGGGGTCGTTTTGCTGGATTTTAAACTCAACACATTTTATTTGAAAATGCTCAATTTCAAGATGCTAAAGCTACATTTGACATATATTCGAGTCATTACAAATCAGTGTAGTTTGAATAGTTGTAATAATGTGAATTGGATGAGTAAAATAATCATCATATTCTTTAATCATTTGACTTCTGTCTACTGAATTTTGTTTTCTTTTTCTTCTCGCTGCGCTGATGAGTACCAGATACAGCTCTCTTTCTATTTTCTCGTCGTAACGCTCTGCTGCTACAAGGGACATCTACATCATCATACGATGTTGATTGATTCAAATTCGGATCCAGTTTAAATGGGGACAAGCAATAAATGTTGTCGTTGCTTTTCATTACTGTCCACGCTTCATGATGATTGGTAAAATCAAAGACTCTCTCAGATGAAATGATGATCTCAGTATTATGTTGTCTTGCAAACTCATCTATAAGTTTTGCACATTGATGTTCTTTTTCTGTACACGGAATGAAATGGGAAAAGATGCAAATAATATATTCATAATGATTGAATTTGCTGAAAAATGATTTCTTTAATGTGTTAAGGAAGATTGTATCGTCGGTTTTAATACGTGAACTATTGAAATCAGATTTTAAAATTTTCTTTCTTATATCTCCAGACGGATCTAATAATCCTGCCTCCCCATGCCTTACCGGTTTGGGTGTATTCATCAATACAACCAACCTTTCAAATGACAAACTATAGTTGTGATAAATATCCAAATCAATTTTGGTTGTCAAAGCCATCTTTAATTTCCGGTTTGCCTCTTCTATAATTCCTAGGTCTTCTTGATCAATTTCGTCAAATGAAACAATGGCCGCAGCAACAAACTGCTTCATTTCATAGTCAACTTTACCTTTGAATAGGGGCATCGATTTCTCTCCGAAATCTTTCAAAGACTTGATAAACTTTACAGCTGATTTGACTGCAAAGCGTTCCGATATTAATGGAGAAGAAGCTGCCATTTTCCTCACTAATAAACACCTTGCCTTTTGACCTACAAAAACGAGAAGTGTTATCACTATACTATACTATATGTATCTTATAAAGTTCGTTTTTTGTCAGCTTTAACAACTAAACAGAGTGGTAACAGCTTTTTTTGTACATTTAAGTGAAAACATAAGTAAAGAAGAATTCGTAAAAAGAATCAAATCAAAACTACTTCAGACAATTTCATTCCTCCATCTTCATGCTGGAGGTTTTTGATAAAAATTCGTATTTGAAAAATTCTGAAATTGAACTTGTGTATGTGTGATTGTTAACAGTGTGAAATATGAAATGCACTATAAATCAATTGACAAACTAAAGGTCAAAAAGAAAAATGTTGCATACACCGATCTCTTTGTAAGATGTTGCTTGTATATTGTTAAAACCACACTGTGAAGCGTACTCTATTGGAGGTTGAATGACATCGTAAATTTTGTCATAATATGTGTATACAATATACATTGATTGAGGTACATCACGTTTGCTTAGGTATTGAAGAAATGATGTTTTTCCCAGCAACCTAAATACTTACGATACAAATCAATTAGAATTCAGTTAGGAATGTATCAATGATATGTATAAGACTAGAAAGAATAATTAATCTTAACGGAAACTGTTGATAATACTTAACCGTGACCCGGGCTGTATAATCCATCGAACATCAAATAATAGCCGTGTTCATTAGAATACTACAGGATCGTTCAGCATTGTTGTCTTATTGTTTGCATTATGAATTTCCTATACAGTATATGTTTTAGAAGTAAGATATTGGTTGAGTTTTTTAATCAAAGACTGATAAAATTAAAAATACTTTTGTATAGAACAATTGTTCATAGAACACAAATGATCTTTCCATATGAAAACATACTAATCTCTTGATAAAACAGATAACAAAAGTTAAAAGTAAAATGCTTATGAAAAAACAGGTATCCGAAACGCTGATTCCAGAAAATAATGTGGTTTCTATGTACTTTCACTTGAAATGTGGGAATCATTTCCTACTTTGAGTTTAGAATACATCATTTCTGGTATCATATGAAAGCAATATTATACTGATTTATAAACTATGTGATTTGTAGGGCCTTTTCTGTAAAATAATAGAGACAATCAATCACTTCCGATTAGCAAAAGGTCATATCATGTGCCATAAGATAGCTTCATTCCTCTGATTCCAGAAAATATGATTTCTATATGTTTTCTTTCAAATAAGGGAGCTAATAAGCTATTTCTGGTTTACAAAAGGTTCATGTATGTTAATACCGAAACAATATGGTGTCTTAGTTCTTTCTTCTTTTACTTATGTGCCAAAATATATACTTTAGTTTTACAACGGTGCACCTAATTTTAACGTTTATCATGGTCACATGTCATTTCCCCCTTTGCAAAACACTCCATGGCTTTATCGTGTATCATTATTATTCTTTAGTTTTTCTATGTTGTGTCATGTGTACTATTGTTTGTCTGTTTGTCTTTTCCATTTTTAGCCATGGCGTTGTCAGTTTATTTTTTGATTTATGAGTTTGACTGTCCCTCTGGAATCTTTCGTCCATCTTTTAAGTAATAATCAGTTAAACAAAGAATTAACCATTCCAGGGGCATTACCTCCTATAAGATGCACTTAAATATATCTTTGAACAACATATACAACATATACGCGTTTCCTCCCCCCCCCCCCCCCCCCCCCCCCCCCCCAATCAACCCATCAGTGCTTTTCTAACGAGATTTCATAGTTTGGGAGACAATGCAAAGTTAAGGGCATGTCCTTTGCGGTTGACCCAGACCAAAATGTTCAAGCTATGACTCGAGAATGTGATATCTGAAAACCAGGGTTCTTTAAGACTTTTGGTTAATGAGTTACACTTACATACCGACTAACTAAATAGTGACGAGAAAATTATTCTTGTTAGTCCCCAGATCGCTTGACCTTTTTTTTTTGTTACGGAGGAAATGAAAATACACAGTATGAAAAGAGATAACTCTTACCAATAAAATTGTTCGGTTTAGCAGGGTCACATTTGTTAGCAGATAAACTCTACGATATCATCTACTAATTATGGTAGCAATACACAGTTAGGAAAAAAGCTTAAAATTGAATCCCATAATTTTTAAACACCCTCTTTCCCTTCCTTTCTAACAAATTAGGCTTAATGTTTGTGTTATGCATGTATATATTTATGGAAACAGCATCTTCCATAGATTTGATTACCAATAGTTATAATGGTGAAATATAATCTCTTTTTGGTGTAACCATGGCAACAATCTGCCTTTATTTGATAAAAAATATTGCAAATAGGGGGTGAAAATGTAACAAAAGTCTCAAAATTTGGTCCAAAGGAAAACTTCGATCAATTAGAGTGATACCTTTCCTGAAATCATAGACATTTATCTATTAAAAGGTCCAAAAAAAAATCATATGCATTTCTGCTTGTCCATAAAATTGAATTGAAAAGATCGAGCGTCAAATATTTGTTGAAAACACTACAATAAACGATCTGTTCCCTCTAAAACATGATTGATTGATTGATTTATTTATAAACACATGGGACCAGGTCTCCTGAAATACGCAAACACGAAGGGGGATCCTACATCTCAATTTTAAGGTCATAAATCAAGGACATCACATCAAATGACCATATGTCTCTACTGTTATGGTTAAAGAGTTATATCCTAACGCAGCTGACAACCCCCATTTAACATAAAAGAAGGCTTCAAATGAATGAAATTAAATTAAAAGAAATCAATTTAAACGAATAGAAAGAACAACTACTGAAATCGTTTTAATTTCATTAAAGACGGCATCATTTGTTGTTGTTGTTGTTGTTGTGGGGGGAGGAGGCGGGGGGGGGGGGGGGGGGGGGGGGGTCCGATCCAGGATCCCTCGTAATGATTTGTAAAATTTTCGTAAGTAATTAATGTTTCACGTTTTCACACACAAGGATCTTTGTAAATTGAATACATTCATTCTCTACTTTCGGCTTAATGTTCTGTAGAATGAAGTATAACGCACATTTAGTATATCTGGTTTTAAATACCTTTCAAAAAATATTAACTGATAAAACATTTAATATAGATCTGTGAACAAATTATGCAACTAAATCTTAAAGTGTGAAAGGGTTTGTCGACATTGACATTTGTCTTCATGGTTTTTTGAGAGACGGTGGAATTCTTATCTGGGTCATATAAATTAAGAAAATCAAATGTGCCAATTCTTAACATCGAGCCGTTCCCTATGCAGTATAAAATTGAGGACGAAAATAGGGAATATGTCAAAGAGACAACAACCTGACCAAAGAGCAGATAACAACCGAAGGCTACCAATGGGTTTTCAACGCAGCGAGAAAATTCCGCACCCGGAGAAATAGTTTCCTGACCCAATCATAGTTGGGTATATCCATACTTCGAATTCAGTATTCTTAGACTTGAGTACAATCCATGAATTAGTGTTGCAATTCACGCCACGCAATTTTGTTAATGACGACACTGCTCTATCCTTTACCTACTCTTGCAATCATGTATTGTAAGAACATTTCAGAAATTTCAAAAACATAATTGACCAGGATACGCGTCACTGTAACATCAGTAATGTTACTAGTATAAGCGTTCCTGGTGTCTGAATTCCTGATTTTATCTTTTTAAATTTTAACTTTTACAATGGTATTTCCACATAATAGATCTAGGTGACCTGAATAGTATCTTTGTAACAATGTGTAGCTTAACCTAAACGAAAGTAGATATTCTAAAAATATATTTTTTTTAATGATGTAACACCTTATTTAAATCCGATCCGATTGGTTATATACGTCTATATGGATATTGAACTGCTTGATTTTATAGGTTGACGTTATCTATTTATTAATAAAAATAAACATAAGTTGTGTTTTTACACTGTGTTCTTGAATAAAAAAAAAAGGAAAAAGATAAAATACTGATCTTTTCTAGATTGCTATAAATCAACTCATTTTCTTTCCGAACACTCCTTATTTTTATCTCCATTTTCCTCCGTTTTCCGTGTTACATGTATGTTTAATATTGAACGACTTTCGTTCGTCTTTGCTATTTTTTAAAATTATGGTATTTGGTTGCGCTTCTCTGTATCTTCTCGAGTTTGTGTATAGACTGTCTATTTGTGACGACAGTAGGTTAAATTCAATTTGCAATTTTATTTCGGGTTGGTGTTTTAATATTACATGCTTGCATCTTAAATGCATGTTGCTAACCGATCGAGTGCTTACAAAGATTGAAAATCTAAACAATAAATCTTGACAAGACTTTGAGATAATGTACATTAAAAAATCATTTGAGATTTGTTTTTAATTACAGAATTAAACATGTTAAACGATACCAACTTACCTGGAATAGTGTAATCTGGTAAATGCGATATATTATACTCTGCGTGTAATGATGTTAACTTTTTTAACAAAACAGTTTTATTCATATTCAGATATAAATGCAATAGGCGATAAAATCACTATTTCATTGATATTATTCTTGATATATTCCAACTTTTTTTTACCCCTAGGAATAGATATCCGTAGCCGTTTTGGCATAGCTTTTCGGTATTATTGTTTTAATGCTTTTAAGTTTTGTATTTGATTTTACCTGCCAAATATTTAATTCGAGGTACAATGGTGAGAAAAGTAAAAAAAACTGTGTCTGACGTACAAAAAAGTATGTTTCCTGTTTTTTTAGTTTCATTTACTATTGCGTTTCTTGTAGCAAATTAAAAAAATATGTCGTTACTCTATTCACATAGAAATTGTAAATGTTTTTGTTCTTCAAAAGTCAGTGACGTTGAAGGAAAACACCCGAACTGTAAATTATTCCTTTATTATATGATGTCTTTTAGCATGAATGTTATTACATTTTTATATCAAAAGATAATAGCTCATAAATAGTATATTAAAAGCAATGAAAAGTCGAATTGCTTTATTCGGTTGAAATTATTTAAAACATTTTACGACAAGAAACAATGAAAAATAATTCTCAAGAAGGTTCCCAGAATAAAACGAAGGACGTAAAATTATGACCGCACAGGAAAGCATTGGATAGTTGTAGAAATTTGAGCTTATAACAGACCAATCATGACAACTCAAACATTTTGTCAAAGAGCTGTTGTGGTTTTGTTTATGAACAAAGAGCATGGAAATGCATAGGTTCAGTTCAGCCGAATAGACGCTGCACTTTAGCAAGGGTTTTGTAAATGTACTTGGTAAAACCAAGAAAGCAATATTTGTATACTCTAGTAAACCTTTGGCTTTTGTAGTGAAATGAACTTGAGTTTAACGAAACCAAACCCCGTGTAATAGACAAATCTTTATAAATTCAATAAAATATCTTAAAACGAAAACAAAATCAATAATCAAACCACCTTAGATTGGCTTAAACTAACTTTTATGATTGTTTTATCGATACAACCCGTTTGATTAAAAGTGATTTTACTGCTTTTGCATTCAATTTTCTTTTTTGGAAGATAATACAAATTTTCGTTGGGTTTAAAAGATATAACTGATCTAGACGATGTTTCTCTGTGACTATGTTGGGCTACAAAACAATCGGATTATCAATAAGCATATGCATGTTTAAAAGAAGCAAATTTTAATAAGATTATTTGATTGATCATTTGAATATTTCATTCCTGTGAAATTGATTTTACACGTAATACGTCAGCTCATTATCCGCGATGAGCTTTTACAAAAGCTAGTTAAACCAGTTTCAAGCCAAAATAAATGCTCAATTCGTAATTAATTTACCCCCGAACTGCTCATAATTTATAGGTAAAATTTCAAACAAAAAAAACCCAAACGTCCAAACGAAAAAATGTCAGTGTATTTGAAATCTAAAATTGGGCGCTAAATTTCACTCACTTCTATTACGCAAATAACAAAGGTAACTGTAAAAGATTTTCTCTGTCTTGGTTGAAAAGCATCCTATACTCTTATACACATAAAAGTGCTTGCACTACCGTTAGGTCATACAATATGGCATTATCATCTCAATATTTACTAGACATGTACATACAAAATGTACCTACATAAGATGTTATTGATGAAGTCATTTTTACAATTTTGTTCTACTCAGAATCATAGATGGCTTTGTCTTAGACTGTTAATTGTCGTCATATTTGGCACAATTCTTTAAATAATTAGTTGATAATGCGTTTCGTCATTGAAAACGATTTGGCCTGCATGATGTATCCATATGGCTGGTGTATTATGTTATATGCATGGTAGTGTGCTCTAATTCAAACAACAAAATATTTATACCATTGCTGGTGGACTTAACTGTACTCTCTTTTGAACAATAAATCAAATCTAAAATGTGATATCAATCAAATAAGCGTAACGTACAAATAAGAAATATATTATGGTGTATTAAAAGTTGATTTGCCATCCATATGTAAATCAATGTGAAATTTCACCTCGTTATAAGTTTGAATAGAATAAAGGAGAGCTTTCAAAAGTCCCAAAATGTGTTAATTTGGAATGTGGGCAGCTGTACTTACCAAGACGCAACCTTTAACTACGTAAAATATGTGTAGGCAACTTAGTATTTCAGACGATGTACTTCACCGAAATAAATGCAGCGCATAAATATACCAGGGTTTGCTAGATCTAAGAATAAATAAGTAAAAAAAAAAGAAGTAAAAGGAAACGACTACTTCAATATGTTAAACAATTCAGGCAAAAATCTGAAGTTAATAACTACTTTCATAACATTCAAAGATACAGATGAAGATATTAATGTTAAAGACTATTCCAATATATTGATTATACATGTTCAAAACTCTATACATCCGTTCGAAGGCAACCATCATGTGGATAGTATGATATGCATTTATTATAATCTTATACAACTAAGAGAACGCGAAGAATGTAGGCAGCAATATCAGCAACTGTTTTAATTAAAAATTAATGATCTAAAATGAATGTTTGTGTGCTGAAAGGGCATTGTTGCAAATATATTATTCTTTTAAAAGTCAAAACCCAATGAATGTCCAGGCGTTAACACAACCTGTAATTTCACTTGTTTCTTCACCTAAAACAATACCTTGAGCTACAAAGTCTATAAGACCATAACGTTTCCATAACCTATTTATTTGAAACGGAATTTTTAATGTGGATGCAAAGAATGTATTTTAGAATTTTTTGAAAGTAAAAGTAATTTTTTGAAAAAGATATTTGTTAGAATACTATTTTGTCAATATCGTTTATGAGGAAGAACGATTTTTTATTATACACATATGTTCAAGTAAAAAAGGAGTCCCTGTGACATGTGATTTGTAATCATTTAAGATAAGTTCAATTGTTTTTAGATAACAACTGCTGTCGTGACATTAAATACTTATGAAAATTCCTAACTGGTTATTAATCAAAATTCAGGTCAACTCGGCACAATACTTATATATAATATACATATGAGTAAATCAATTCTTAAAGAAGAACATAAATATATTTTCCTATTTTTGTTCGTTGTCCTACAACATTTTTCAAATATATTATTTTTGTTATTGGAGGAGTCATCGTTAAATCATTTTTCTTGTTAGTTTTTAAAATTCATTCGTTCAGGAGATATATTTTTAGGAGTATAATAGAATTATCATTTGTTGTTTATTATTATATAGAAAAAGGTGTGTCATTGAACTTACACGGACGCCCTTGATCTTATCGATTTCATTGTCACGAAAGGTAGTATTCAACCAGTCGTGACGATACAGGGATACTTTCTCATGTTATCTACAGTACGAGTACATTCAACATAACTTTGATTGTTTTGCCATTTTAAGTCTTTTCTGTAGTGTTGTGGATTTTTTTTCTTTCGTCTTCTTTCGTTTTTTGCCATGTCGTAGTCATTTTTTCTCAACTTTTAGATTTAATTTTCCACTTGTACGACTGTATAGTTTTGAAATATTTTATTTGAAATAAAAAATTAAAAACTTTAGAACCTGACACACTTAACACTTGTACGATGGGTGGTAAACCAAAATATGAAAAAGGAAAAAGTAGGACAAATGAACGTTATAGAAGTTATTGTATGTACGTAATGAATTCAAGTGATGTCATTGTTGTTTTAATGTTGTAATATAACTCAAATGAAGAAGGGCGTAATAACGGAAAAAAGAGAAACTTGTGTTATAGTTATATCATATATCTTTGGCTTGGTATATATATATATATTTGGCTATCAAAGATTTAAGGATGAGCGTTCCATCCGAATGTGAATACAAATATTCTTCGAACGCACGACATAAAATTTACAAGGATACGCGTCACCGTTACATCAGTAATGTTTATAGAATGCGTGTCTACGGTGTCTGAATTCATTATTTTATCTTTTAAAGTTTTATCTATCACAATGGTTTTTCCAAATAAACGATCTAGTTGACCTGAAAAGTACCTTTGTAACCTAACCTATACGCAAGTAGATTTTCTTAAAATATTTTGATGAGATGATGTAAAGAACTACCTTATTTAATCTGTATCCGAAGGGCTATATATATTTATATGGATATTGAACTGTTTGATTTTAGAGATTGACGTTATTTATCTATAAATGAAAATAAACAAAAGTTGGAAAAATCGTGTTTTACACTGTCTGCTCTAATAAAACGAAAGTAAACCAAAACACCTATCTTTCAGTTCGGAAAACAGACATAATGGTAAAATAAACAGTGAAGCTGAAGATATCACTATTGATAAATTGTCTTCGTCTAATTTCGAAAAGACATATAAGATTCATGAATTGTTTTTATTTGTTATATCTTCTGTAGGTGTGTAGTTATAAAAAAAAGATGAAATACTAATCTTGGTTAATTAACATTTTATTCCAAAAAAAACTTTTTTATATATGCTCCCAGGTATCCGTTTTGATTTTCAAGTGTTACTTTTAACGACTTTCGTTCGTCTTCGCTATTTCTTAATCTTTAACATGCTGTTTTATGTAATTCTTCGACTTATGGTATGGTGGTGCCTTTCGGTATCTTAGTGAGTGTGAGGATATACTCGTCTTTTTGTAACGACAGTATCATAAATTTAACGCGTATTTTTATTTCGGGTTGGTGTCTTATAATGATATGGCTACATTTTTGATTCATAGTAGTCAATGGACTGCTTAAAAAATTGAAAAATTTGACAATTAAGCTAGACGATCATTTGAGATATTGTACATTCAACTTTCAATTGGGATTTCTTAATAAATTACAGAATCAAACGATACAAACTTACCTAGAACAGTGTAATCTGGTGAATGCGATATATTATACTCTGCGTGTAATGATGTAAAAATGTTTAACAAAACAGTTTTATTCATACGTAAATATAAATGCAATTTGCGATAAAAATAGAAACAGTCACCTGGGATTAAATCACTCTTCCATGAGTTTCTGGTATTATTTTTGATATATACCAACTTGTAGTTTTTTCCGAAGGCGTATATCCGTAGCCGTTTTGGCATAGACTTTCCGGATGTTTAGTTTCAAAATGTTCAATGTTCATAAGTTATGTTTTTCATTTGACCTACTAAATGTTCAATTCGAGGTACAATGGTGATTTTTATGTAGGAAAAACATGTACCTGACGTAAAAAATTATATTTCTTGTTTTATCTTAGTTTTGTTTAAATAATACGCATCTTGAAGCAGATTAAAAGAAGTTATGTAAACAGAAATGGTGTTTTGGTTTTTTCTTTAACAAAATATAAAACAATAACAGTTACGTTGAAGGGCAACACCAGGACTGCAACTAAATCTTTACTACATGGTGTCTTTTACCTTGAATGCTATCAAATCAAAAGATTTTAGCTCATAAATAGTTGCATATTTAAAGCAATGAAAAGTGATTTTCTAATTTACTTGTTCGGTGGTAATTGTTTTTAACAATTTACGACAGGACACTATGAACATTAATTCACAAAAAAAAAAAGATCTCAAGATAGGACGAAAGACATAAAATTATGCTTGCACGAAAAAAGCATTGGATACGGGTAGAAATTTGAGCTTGTAATAGACCGATTTAGTTCTCTAAAAGTGCTGTTGTAATGGTATGTAACGAAAAAGAGCATTGAACTCTCACAACAAGAGGCATCAGTTGTAACGTCTATATTCAGAATGGACATGGCTACAAATGTACAGATTCAGTACAGCCTATCAAACGCTGCACTTTGGCAAGGTATTTGTTTTGCCGTTCGTGGCAAAACCAAGAAGGCAATATTTGTATACCACAGTTAATAAAATTTCAGTTAAGATGAAAATAAATTTTAGTTTAACGAAAAATAAAACCGTGTGATTGTCAAAGCTTTATAAATTCTAAAAAAAATTATTTTAAAACAACTAAATGAACTAATTGTGAAAAATTGTCTTTAAAGGACAATAACTCCTTTTGCAGTTTGCAGTTTATCTTTATCTATAATAATATTCAAGATAATCACCGAAGACTGCAAACTTTCCTTAAAATCATCAATTCAGGGGCAATAGGTTAACATCAGATACCTGATTTGGCTAATAATGTCAGCACAGGTAGGCCTAGACCTAATGGATACTTTTATTGCTTGTCTGATTGCCCTAAATACTTTAGTTTTTTTTCAAAACAAACAGAAACAAAATTAAAATCATTTTAGATCGGCTGAAACTATCTTTCATGATTTATGATACCACCCGTTCGATTTGATGTGATTTTACTTCTTTTGCAAATGATTTTCCATATTTGAAGATAATTCAATTTTTCGTTGGATGTAATAAAATATAAATGATCTAACCTGATACGTAGTTTGTTTGTGACTATTTTAGGCTACAAACTAAGCATAGTTATCCTTGTTTAAACATGTTAAAAGAAGGAATTTTTTACTAAAGACTAATTTGATTGATCGATGGATGATTTCATTCGGGTGAAATTGATTTTACACGTAATACGTCAGTTCATTATCCGCGTTGAGCCTTTTTTCAAAAAAGGTTAACCTGTATCAAGCCAAAATAAATGCACAATACGTCATTGATTTACTCCCGAACTGCTCATGATTTATAAATTAAATACTTTATAAAAAGTTCTCATTACCAACAAACTAGAGAATATGTGAGTATTTGAAAACTGAAATTGGGCGCTGAGCTCATCTCACTTCCATTAAACATTAATCAAGGGTTTCTGTAAAAAGATTTTCTGTTTGTTTGAAAAGCATCCTATACATATAAAAGTGTGTGTACTAGTGTATCATTGATGTAGTCATTTTCGATAATCAGCTCACTGTAAGCTTTGTAATTATTCCAAAAGGCTGTTTTCGTCTTCTCAAAGTCATAGATGGCTTTATCTTTGACTGTTATTTGTAGCCAGATTTGTTGCAATACTCTGAGATTTACTTAAAATGCTCATCATCCTTTAAATCGATTTGGTCTTCTGCTCTTCAAACTGTTTCATATTAGAGCTGGTGTATTATGTTATATGCATAGTGGTGTGTTTAAGTTCATACAATAAAATAATTCATACCATTTCTGATGGAAGTAATTGTACTCAGTATCGAACAATGTTTCAATATGGAATTTAACACAAACAAGCGTAATATATAATTAAGAGTTATATTGTGGTGAATTGGAAGTTGATTTACCATCTATATACGAATTATTTTGAAATCTTACCTCGTTATGATATCTAGATAGAATAAATAAAAGCATGTAAACATTCAAAAAATGTGTTCAATTGAACTGTTGGCTGCTGTACTCACCAAGATGTAAACTTGTACTAGGTTATATATGCGTAGGTCACTTAATATTTCGGACGCTGGAATTCACCACAATAAATGCAGCATATATATGTATGCCAGGTTTCCTGAATTGTAAGAATGAATAAATCCAAGGAGAAGTAAAAAAAAAAAGACTACGCAAATAAGGCAAAACATTCCTGCAAAACTCTGAGATGACAACTATTTTTAAAACATACAAAAATACAGATAACGATGTTAATGTTAATGACTTTTGAAATATGTTGATAAGATATGGTCAAAACAATAAATCCGTCCCAGGGCAACCTTCATGTGGTTATTATGAGATATTCGTGCCATTTGATATAATTAAAAGAACGCAAAGAGTGTAGGCAGTATTAGTAGTAACTGTTTTGTATTAAAAAATAATGATTCAAAATGCATATTAGTATGATTGAAGGGTATTATTGCAAACAAATATATTCTCATTAAAGTCATAACGCCTTGAAATTAATGCATTTAATACACTTGTAAATACAATGATATGTTTCTTAACCTTTAAAAAACAATTTGAGCTACACACAATTGTAAATAATAAGATATTAACTTACTTACCTATTTATTTTAAACGGTAATGTTATGGGGATGTTGAGAATGTAGTTAAAGAAAATGTTTAAAGTGAAAGTACATTTTCAGAAAACAAATTTTTATAAAAACTGTTTTGTCAATATCTTTTATGATTTTATGCGACTGTCATACTAGTGAGATATTTAGCTAGGTACATTACCAGGTTTATTCCACCATTTTCCACATAAGACAAATCCTGCACCAAGTCAGGAATTTGACGTCGAATATTTAAGTTGTGATCCATTCGTTTGATGTGTTTTATCTTTTAGTTTTGCCATTTCATACAGACTTGCCGTTTTGAATTTATCTCTGAGTTCTGTATTTTTGTTATTTTACTTTTCATGAATGAAAATGATATTTTATACGCATATAAAATAGGAGCCCCTGTGACAGGTTACATGTGGGATGTTAAAAATAATTGTTTGTAAATATGAACTGCTGTCATGACTAAATTCAGAAGTTATTGAGAGGTTTTTATTAGCGCGAATAATGCAAACAAAAACAGCCCATTACTAAAACAGATATTTCATACACAACATGTTGCTTTTCGTATTAAGAGAAATGTTGTTTTTACTTCAAAATTAAAATTCATTTCCGTTAAATTCTATTTATGACTTAACTCAAATTTGTTAAGTTTTGTTGGTTGCTATTTCAACAATTATAGTATTTTGAGTGCTAATGATGCAACTCTTCTAGCAGAACTGATTTTGATTATACATGGAAAATAATGCACGCAAAACATTCTCTCTCAAAAACCAAAATGAACACGCATCTGTCAAAGTTTAAGGTGGTACCCAACACCTTGACTAATATTAATTTGGCTCGTTCAATTTTCATAAAATTTTGACAAAATGTTTACTTTGACCCTTTGACAAAAATATAAAAAATTCAAAAAATTTGAACCAACCACTTTATCAGAAAAATTTCGTTGGTTATATAGCAGTTTGACAAACACTAATTTTGATCATTGAGAAGCTTAATATTTCCTTAACAATACAACGTAATTAAAACGTTTAGTTGATTTTTACAGAGTTATCTCCCTGTAGTGTTAGGTACCACCTTAAATTGTAAGTTATTCGGAATAAAATGTATGTCCTGTCACTCATTAAACTTTATTTTAGTAAGTGCTTGCATCTCAGAAATGCAATATACATAGAATAACGGCTTTTTAGTTTTGATACTAAAAGTATCGCTCAGTAAGAATGTAAAACGAGTTCAACATGTTCAACAGGGCGAGTATGTATATACAAAAAAATCAAAGACACCTGGAAGAAATTTGTATTTGCGTCAGACGCGCGGTTTTTCTACAAAAGACTCATCAGTGACGCTCGAATAAAAAAAAGTTAAAAAGGCAAAAATATAAATTACTTAAGGTTTTGACAACTACAATGAACTAAATAAAATATTTTTGACGCGTACAAAACGTTGGGACATTTTCGGTGGTATGATTGAAATTGCGAGCATTTTTTTGATATATTAACGCGGATAAACATGTATATACACTTGACGTTGCTGCACTGATACATGCCACCATTGCCTAATATTTGCGTAGATCAAGTACTGTCCGTTATCTAAAAAAAAGCAGTAAATAAAGGGAAAGTATCAAATTGCCGGTTTTTTGGTATATCTTAAAAAGCTTATTGTATTTAAAGACACTCCCGAAAATATTCTGCTTTATATCTTGACAATATCTCAGATGTTGAATAGTATGTATATGACATGATGTATGCACTTATAATATAAGAATGTTGATACTTATAGGACTTAATACAGAAGGGAAATCTGATAAACGATTATGAAGCTTCTTGTGTTAAATTACCTTTGACAAAAAAAAAACAACATTGTAATGAAAAAAGGCTACGAAGGTAAAATTCGTTTAATTTGACAGAACGAGGTCACACCCCTAGTCACGTTACAAGTGACGAAATATAATGTTTTCCTCAACAAAGTATCATTATAAAAATATTTTTTTTCAATTACTCATAAAACCACCTTTTCT